TGCGGGAGGGGGCTGGGGGCCGGTTGCAGAAGCGCCAGGGCGGAAGACCCCCCCTCTTCTACTTGGGGGAGGGGACGGGGAGCAGCTGTGGCCCCTGGGAGGGGGCTGCAAAGGGGGCTCCGCTTAGCGCCTCCGGGGCGGGGGGGGCTGTGAACGCGTGCAAAGTTACGGGGAGGGGTCCAGGCTTAGCCCCGCTCCTGCGGGCGTCAGAACCGGGAACCCCGCGAGTCCCGATTGCCCCTTTGGGCCCCGGGGTTCCCCTTGCAGGCACCCTCTGGTCCCGGGCGGGCCCCTTCGCCCCCTCCCCGCGGGTTGCCCCCTCTTTCGCACGTGCAGGAGGAGGCCCGCGTCTCCGGCGTTTGCAAAGAGGGCTCGCTCGCTCCGGGCTGGCTAAAACCGCTGAGTTGGCTTGCAAAACTTTTCCCCCTCGGATCTTTCCTGCTTCCCGGCAATCCGTCCTGGAGGGTTTTATCATCCCGTTTAGATTTGATATCCCTGCTTTTTTTTACTTGTATTTATTTGTTTCCTCCGTTCGACGTTGGTATTGGGTTATCAGATAAAATAAGATACAAAATATGAATAGGAAAAGGGAGGTTTGGGGGCTGAGGGAAGGGAAGTGAGCGAGGATAGGAGAAAAAGAAGCACCGACTTCCGACTCTGTTGCAGTAGAATAAGCTTTTGACATCACCTCACAACTTTTTTTGCCTTTTCATAATAATAGGACCAAGCCATTTCTATAAAGATCTATCAGTCTGATCGGTACCTTTATTTCTTGGTTAAATTGATTTGCTTGCCCATCTTATCGGCAAGGTGATTCTGGGTGGCTTAGGGGGTTAAAAATTATTATTTTATTGTTTATATAGAATAATCCCTCCTTCTATTCTTCCCCCTTCAACAACAGTCCTGTGAGGTAGGTTGGGCTGAAAGAGAGGGAGAGGGAGAGGAAAGAAGGGAGAGAGGGGGGGGGGGATTGGTCCAATGTCACCCAGTTGGCTTTCATGTCTACGCCAGGACTAGAATTCACTAGCAAAGCAAAAAAGTTGTGATTTGATGTCAATGCCTTAGTCTACTGCAGAGGTCTCCAAACTTGGCCACTTTCAAGACTGGTGGACTTCAACTCCCAGAATTCTCCAGCCAACTATGCTCCAATTCTGAGAGTTGAAGTCCACAAGTCTTGAAAGTGGCCAACTTTGGAGACCTCTGCTATATGACATAAAATATAAAATGCAGGATTAAAATACGCACAAGTTAAACAGATCTTGCTCAGAAACTAGCAACATTAATTGTGTTCGGTTGCGTTGTGATGAAGTCCTCGAGTGTATAGATAGTCCTTTGACTTGCAATGGTTCGTTTAGTGTCCGTTCAAAGTTAAAACAGCCCTGGAAAAAAAATGACCTTCTGACAAGCAAAGTCAATGGGGAAAGCAGCTTCATTTAATGACCGTGTTACTAGCCTAAGAACTGCAGTGATTCCCTTAACAACGGTTGGCAAGCAAGGCCATAAAAGGAGACGAATGCACACCTCACTCAGCAACAGAAATATTGGGCTCAGTCGTAAACAGGGCTACCTGGACGCAAAGGGTACCCAGGTATTGTTTGTCTGCATCGATTCAGGGTAGACATTTTCAGAGTAATGTCGGATTGCTGCTAATACTTCTGGGAAGAGGCTGGTTTGGTTTAAGCCAGGCTGAGCCCAAAGGTGACGCGGCTCAGCCAAAACTATTCAGTTACAGAACAGCTCAGCCCGTTTACATCCGACTTGATTCGGTATGGTTCTCACATGACGGAGGATAAATTCCAGCCTGCCCTGGAGAAGCCCAGGACCCGTCTATCTTCAGAGCAGCCACTATTTGAAAATGCAGTCGTTTCGGGGGTTTTTTTCCCCACGCGTTCAAAGAAATAAACTTGCTTTCTTTTGCAGCTGTATTTATTTTGTTCTTAAGGCAGCTGACTTGTCGCTAGAGGTTTAATTTCCTTTTTTTTTTTTTGTGATTCCTGGATAAGATTTGCCAAGTTTCAGCCCAGCAGGACAGGATATGCGTTCTGAATGAGGGCCGTTTCGGCAGAAAGGGGAAGAAGCCACACTGCCAAAAAAAGGTCCCTTCCTTGTTGTATATTTTTGGACTGTTTGTTCCAACAAGGGCTTTGACCTCGGAAGGTGCTAAGGAAAAAAAAAGGCCTCTCTGTTGTAAAAAGCTTGCAGCTTTCTTGGCTTAAAGAGACTCTCGGCTTCAAAGAGAGAGAGAGAGAAAGCATTGCTCTTATTTCGGTTAAATAAGACGGAATAAAACACCGTTGATTGAGTGGTCAATTTCCTTATGCGGTAACACCCCCCACCCCACCCCATACAAAAAGGCATTATGAAGGTTTAACCCAAGTGTGAAACATAGCATGGATTTCTTTTCAGGTAGGCCTTGACTTATGTCTGTTTGTTTAGCCCAAAGGTATGATGGCGCTGAAGAAGAGGGACTCAGGGCTTAGTCCTCACTCTGATGACCGTTGCTCCAAGTAATTGCAATCCGGGCATTTGGCAACTGGCTTGCCTTTAGGATGGACACAGTCCTGGGGTCACCAGATGACCATTTGTGGCCTTATTACAAGGGTCTCCAAACTTGGCCACTTTCAAGACTTGTGGACTTCAACTCCACAAGTCCACAAGTCTTGAAAGTGGCCAAGTTTGGAGACCCCTACAGTAGAATAAGGCATTGACAATCAAATCGCAACTTTTTTGCTTTTTCGTAATAACAGGAACAAGCCATTTCTATAAAGTTCTATCAATCTAAATGATACTTTTATTTCTTTATTAAATTGATTTTGCTTGCCCATCTCATCGGCAAGGTGATTCTGGCTGGAGAACTCTGGGAGTCGAAGTCCCCAAGGTTGGAGACCCCTGTCCTTCGCCTTCTCTAAGCCTCCCTATATTTGTAGGAACAATTTGTGCAGAATAAAAACCAGAGACCATCCTTCCCGGTTTAAATCTCTGAGCCGTTTCTCTCCAAAGATATCCTCAAAAAACAACACACCAGCTTTAATCAGTTAAAAGCTTGCAGGTTTGTTCTCTTCAAGTAAAAACTTGAAATCACCTGATTGTCTAGCCATCTTGGCATTGAATCCCACCCCCCCCAAATGGCCAGGTTATATTTTAGCATGCCACTAATGTTGGTGGCAGAGCATTTTAACTCTTGATTTTTGTTTTTTTCTTCTAAAAAAAAGGAGAGTTTTCCATCTGGAGGAAGAAACCACCTTGTATTCTTCTGATGTGTAATCTATTTGTTCTATCTCATCAGTTCCCCTGCAAAACTGGGGGAGTGTTTTTATGTTGGCAGCGGAATAAAAGCCGGAAGTGTTTTTTTTCTATTGTCATTTTTTTTTCTTTTTAATTGGCAGGGCTTAATGTTTGGTTTCAGGCAGCTTTTTAATTTCCCTTTGTACCTCTTCAGGCCAGATTGAAAGGTGTGTGTGTAGTTTTTTTTCCCTCCGTTCCTAGCTAAGTTGAGCCCCCCATTCGATAAATGCATCAGAGCCGATTCTCTTAGCGTCGTCGCTGGGAAAAACCGTCGCTGGCTGCCACCCAAAACTCAAATCGATCTGAGAGCAATTCTTTTCTTTTCTTCTTAGCTGGAAGAGGAAAAGGAGACTCCCAGGGTGTGAATCGGAGGCCGGAATTGTATAATGCTAGAAAAAAGAGGGAGGCTTTTTGGCAGTGGTCGGTCTTTCTCTGTAAAGCAAAAATTGACTTTTTTCCCCCCGCTGTTTGGAAGCCTTAATGGGGACAGAAAACAGTAGATGCAAACAAGGCTGTTCCATACGAAAACCTTTAAATATTGTACACTTGTGGCTTCTGCAGATGACATAAAAATGGATTGTTCTTGGACATGAAACTGGGGGGAGCCATCACCAAGAAGTCCCCCCAGCTCCACAGCAACTTGTGAAGCCGATTGAAAGTTTTCACCCCTCTGCATTCACCTTTCAGAATTCAAAAAAATTCCCGGGCAGCAAACTTTGGTGACATAAGATAGTAATGTTGATGCTTTGTAGTCCTTTGATGCTACCTACTTTATGAGAACCCAGTTTTGGGGCAAGGTGGAAATTCAAAGTTTAGGGGGGGTGAACATCTCGACCACCCTCCCCATTGGGGAAGGAGGAGTTTTTAAACTTTGCTCAACATTTAAACTTTTGTTTTTGTCCGTCCTTTGACAGACATCTGTTTCCTTCCTCTTTCTCCAAAGCCGGTTTTGCTCTGGCGATCCAGATATCTGAAAACTTATCTTTCCTCCCTATAGTTCTGGGGTCTTCACTTGGGTTCTCCAGCGATGTTGATTTGGGGTTTGGTGTGTTGTGCGAATCTAGGCCCTTCCCTTTTGCAAATGATGGTCCGCTTGACTAATCATGGTTAGATAAAGCTGGATTTTGCATGAGATGCAAAAGAGGACGTGAGCCGTTAATTTTATTGATGGGCTGCTCCGAATGCTGCATGCTAACCAGAGTTATATTGGGGTTTTTTTTTGTGTTAGTTTGTTTCCTTTCCACACCAAGGCGAATAGGGTTCAATCACAGTTAAGGAATTTCCTGTATAGCATAAACACATTTGTGAAAGTTTCTTTTCACCTTTTATTCTCCTTGGTGCAAGGAACTAAAGCAATACCCGTACGCAATTACTGGAAAACAACCGCTCATCTGAAACCTTTCTCAAGAATCGCCCACGCAGTTTCAACTCTGTGCAAGCAACGATGAGGTTTATATCGTTTTCTTGTTTTCCAGTAAAATGGGACTTCTGGAGAAGCTTGATTTCAGGTCCAGGGTTTCACGCTGTGACTTTTTTTTTCTAAGGTTCACAAAATCCCAGCTGATTACTCAGCCTGGACCCTAAGTAAACCATGTAAATGAGCTCAGAAAACTCTTGACGCCTTTTTGGCTATGTAGTTACAGTGGGCTCTAGCACTTAGGTCATGATGGTGACCTCTCATCATGCTTGAGCGGTCTTTTGCTTTTATATAGAGAGATAAAGGGGACACCACCAATAAGGCCCTGTTGTTCAGCCTCCAAAGCTCATTGAGAACTTTTCCTTCGTTGTCTGCTCCATTCCAGGTGGCCATGGTGGAAGTCCAGCTAGACGCAGAACACGACTACCCTCCGGGACTCTTGATAGCCTTCAGCGCTTGCACGACCGTCCTGGTGGCCGTCCACCTCTTTGCCTTGATGATCAGCACCTGCATCCTGCCCAACATCGAGGCCGTCAGCAATGTCCACAACCTCAACTCAGTCAAGGAGTCGCCCCACGAGCGCATGCACCGCCACATTGAGCTGGCCTGGGCTTTCTCCACCGTCATTGGGACCCTGCTCTTCTTGGCCGAAGTGGTCCTTCTCTGTTGGGTCAAGTTCCACCCGCTGAAGAAGAACACGGGCGCCGACGCGCAGGCGAGCAATGGCACCATCACCGCTGGGGAGGCAGCCGCCATCACCTCCACCACCATCATGGTCCCCTTCGGCGTGGTCTTCATCATCTTCGCGGTCCACTTTTACCGCTCGCTGGTGACTCACAAGACGGATCGGCAGTTCCAGGAGCTGAACGAGCTGGCCGAGTTTGCCCGCTTGCAGGACCAGCTGGACCACAGAGGGGACTCCGTTCCCTCTCCCAGTGACCATTTCGTCTAGAAAGTGTCGGGGAGACCTAAGGTGGTGGAGCCCACCGGTTTTCTCCTGACCTTCCCGAATTTGTCTGAGCTGTAACCTTTGTGTAAGGAGAGGGAGTTAACAGGAGCGGAACTTCCTAAGAGCTTTCCAGAAATAATAATTAAACCAATAAAAGGCAAAAGAGTGGCTCTCGTCACGTTGTGGAATGCCAACCTCTGGGAGCCCTGCCCACCCGTCGCCCACCGTTTTCCTGGCTGTGCCTTCCCTAGCCGTGAACCAGGACTGTTTCCCTTTGAAATGGCGGTTCGTTAGAATTAGAATTCTTTCTATTGGCTAAGTGTGATTGGACACCCAAGGAATTTGTCTTCATCAACAGAGAAAATAGGGAAAGGGAAAGTGGGGAAATTAGAGATTTGGAAGGAAGTCTCGTAGCTTGGACTCCTTTGGGTCAAATAACAGGTTGGCTGGAGTCGGTGCCCTAGCTGAAAACATGAGTTCTTGGGTCTAAGTTTGGTTTTGCTGACCAGCCAAAGCAAAATAGGCAAGACAGGGACACACACAGCCACCCCCGCCAACCACTGGCCAGCCCTTAACAAGCTTCTAAGAAACATTATTATTTTGATTTGTTTCCTTGCTCCATTTTTTATTTTGGTGACTCCTGGTGTCAAAATATGGTAGGTTTCCAAAAAATTTTTTCCTGCAGGCTCCTTATGAGCCTCTGGAAACCTGGAATGCAGGCGTGTTTGAACTGGAGAGAGCTATTTCGGGGTGTGTTCCCGTAGGAAAAACACATTTGTACTCTTATGTGTGTGTTCACAATTGTGTTCTTTGAAGTCCTTGTTGCCTTTATAAAATACTCTGGCCGCCTTTCTTATTCTTAACGGGCATCCTCCAAAACGGTTTCAAAAAGGAAAACACTTTCCAGACTTCCCAATGATACAAACTTTTCAACAGCAACAACAACAAAAAAAAAAGTCGAACCCTTAATCCACACAGTGGCTGAGAAATAGGAAAATCTTTGCGAGTCAGGATGAGAACCAGGAAAGGAAAGGTGCTGTCTGAGGAATTCTGGGAGTTGAGAAACATTGCTTTTGGCAGCGATTATTTGGACCAGCACTGATGGTGTTATCTAGTTGGGGAATGAAATGTCTGTTGAAAACAACCAAGCTCAAAGGGAATCAAGGACCCCATATCAATCAGTTAATCAGAATAGAGCTAGAAGGGACCTTGGAGATCTTCTAGTCCAACCCCCGCTCAGGTAGGAAACCCTAAACCAAGGGTCTTCAAACATGGCAAGTTTAAGGCTTGTGGACTTCAACTCCCAGAATTCCTGAGCTAATGTGACTGGAGGAGGAATTCTGGGATTGAAGTCCACAAGTCTTAAAGCTGTCAAGTTTGAAGACCCCTGGAATAGATAGATAGATAAAGAGAGGTAGATAGAATAGATAGATAGAGGGAGAGAGAGAGAGAGAGAGAGAGAGATAGAATAGCTAGATAAAGTGAGGTAGAATAGTTAGACAGACTGTGATTTTCTAATAGTGATAAGTTTGAGATTGGTTGACATAATAATAATAATAATAATAATAATAATAATAATAATAATAATAATAATAGTACAAGTCCCAACATTTTTAAAGGCTCTTGGAATTGTGGCTTGGAATATATGTTAAACAGTTTTTACAATGCTGCTGAGAAAAGTGACTTACGACCGATCCTCAGAGTTATTACCATTGCAGAATCTCCATATAATCAAAATTCAGCGGCTTGGCAACCAACAGGTATTTAAAATGGTTGCACCATCCCAGAGTCACATAATCCCCATTTGAGACTTTCCTGGCCTGCTTCCAGCAAGCAATGTCGATGGGGAAATCCAGATTTGCTTAACAACTGCATGATTCAGTTAATGGCTGCCGTGGTTCATTCCACAACCGTGGCAAAAGAGGTCAGAAAATCAGGCGCGAATCTCTCAACCGTGGCTTTGCTTAGCCGTGGAAATTCTAGTTCCAACTGTCATAAGTGCACAACTGTCTGCACTCCTTTACGGTCATAATCGATCCAGGGGTTCAATTAGCTGAGAATCTCCGCTTGGTCTTCTATCCATCCCTCCGTTTCAGCTGCTAAACTACCCCTCTTAAGGAAGGAAGAAGGAAAAAAAAAACAAGGAAAAGGCCAAAAGACAGCCAGGATAATATATTCCAAGGAATAGCATCCATCAGAGACCTTTCTGTTAAAAAGCAACCTTGGCCAGAGAAATATCTGCAGTATTTGAGTCATCCCCGTTCTTTCTGAGGCTGAGACGTGAATAGTTCGGCATTCTGTAATATCAGAACAGCTTCTTCTAAGACTCCATCTGGATCAGCCAGTTCAACCTGGAAAGAATTTAGTTGACCAACTTAAAAGACAAGTTTGCTGTCAAGCTATTTATTGTTTTTTTTTTAAATTTGATCCATTTGCAGCCCAGATTAACTTAATAACCATGTTGCTAATTTAACAACGGCACTGATTTGCTTCACAAATGTGGCAAGAAAAAGCCGTACGCCGTATACTACGAACAGTCGCTAAACAATGCTTGTAGGTCAACGGCTGCCTGTATATAATCAGGGAGCAAACCCCCACTCCCTACTAGCACTGATGATATTACCAAGTTGGGTAATGAAACGTCTACAAGAAACTCACCAAGCTCAGAGAGCACCAAGGACCCCACAGTCCAACCCTGAGTTTCTTCTGTTGGGAATTTCAGCTTTTATCTGATGACTTATGAGCTAAGCTGTTTATGAACTAATCTATTGGCGAGGGTTTATTAATAGCCCAGTTCTAAGCATGGCTGGCTGGGGGATTCTGGGAATTGAAGTCCACCCATCTTAAAGCTGCCAACGCTGAGAAACATTGCTTAAACCTTGAGACCAAAATTCATAGGAAGGATCATCTCTGGGAACTGGACCCCCACGGACTGCGATTTACCTTGGGGATGGGATATTGAGTGGGCACCGGGGCTTCATCCCGGCCAAAATCAGTCATGGTGCCACACTTCGGTATGTCTGCCACCCAGTAGCCATCATAGACTTGGCCGGTGTCTAGGTAGATAAACTTCCCCGGACCGTGTTTCTTTCCATCTTTCCATGAGCCTTCGTAGCGGTTTTCATTTTCTGCGACAAAGAGAGAGAGAGAAAGAAGAAAGAAAAATGTTGGTTTTCGTCATTGCCCCCCAAATTTTCCTTTTTAAATTTACATCGTGGACTGAGAAACGCGAGAAAGTTTCGCTCAGATGCCCCAAACTTAGTACGGAAGGCGAAGTAGCCTTGGTTGAGACTCCTCCGTTTTGAAAATGTAGAGTAAATTTAACTCTCATCCTTGTTGTGGTTCACTACACAGTGAGCCAGATGTTCGGGCTGGATTTGGCACTTCTATCTACTTTTCAAGTCCTTCCCAAGGCAGGTAGGCAGATGCTGACGTTCAGTAGTGTGAGTTGGTTCTCATCGCAGGATTTAAGCTGCTCCAAGTCAAGCTGCCTTTTGCAATCGACCGATGGCAAACTTGTCAATGCCGAATTCAAAAATAATAATCCGTCCCCTTTCCTCTTTCTCGCAGAGGGTCTTATCAGCCGGAGATAAAAGTTGTTTAAGAACCCAAAACACAATGCCAAAGAGAACAACGGATTAATCCGCTGCCCTAGGAGGGAAGTAAAACAGATTTGCTCAGATTTGGATCCAGGAGAATGTCTTTTTTTATTGCGAGAAAGTCAAATTGCAGGGCATCCTGGGGGGCCGCCTCTCCACTTCTCCGGCCTTTCTGTAACAGTGGAGCAAGTCAAAGTTGCGTTAATGGCCAGTGTCAGGTTGCAAGCATGTAGCCAGGATGGTCTTGGACAGCACTTCCATCGTAATCCCAAACGGGAGATTTGCCAACCTCGTGCCTCTCACCACCGGCAGCCTGGAGGACATTGGCAACTGCTGAGGCCGATAAAATTAAACCCAGCGAGCTAATTTTAGCCTAAGGAAAAATCCAGGCAATAAAGAGAGGCTCCATTTCGGAAGCCTTTGCAAAACCTTGAAAAAGGTTGAAACGCTTCAGATGTATCAAAGGGCTCCTGTCCAGAATTCCATAAAACTTGGCAAAAGTGATTCTTCCTTCAGAAATTAAACTTTGGTTTCCATCGAGTTGCCAAGAGCTGAGAGGCCGATGGGATTAACCCCATTTCCACCCCGTAATATACCCTTCCCTGATCCCATTAAGCTCCAGCTACTGCTATCCCCGTTATTAAAATGTAAAATGATATTTTAATCATTTTTATTTTATTTCGGGCTTCAGATTTGTCCTTGTTCCAAAACAGCAATCTCCCTCTTCTTCCGGCCATCTCTTTATCTTCGCCACAACCCCAGAGGTGGGATTCTACCGGTTCACACCTATTCGCTAGAACTGGTTGTTAACTTTCTAAGCAGTTTGGAGAACCGGTTGTTAGGAGAAATTACTGGGCTAATCCTGTAAGGAAGGCAGGAAGGAAACATTCTGTTGTTGCTTACAGAAACTGCCTCTCCATTAACCCTTATTACATTCTTGGCAGGACTAGACTTCCTGTCTCCGGAACTTCTCTGGAGTTTTTTTCCCCCTCCTTTGCTGGCACTTTGCTTGTGTGGAGTGACCATGAAAAAAGTGACTTATGACCGTTTTTTACACTTATGACTGTTGCAGCATCCCCACAGTCATGAGAGGCCATGGGGATGCGTGTCTCAATGTGAGTGATATTGAGTTGACCATGCCCAGCTAATAACATGACCACCAAACCACATCCACTCAGTCACATGACCACCAAGCCACGCCCACCAACTAAGCCACACCCACAGAACCGGTTGTTAAAAAATTTGAATCCCACCCCTGCACAACCCCATGAAGTACAGGCCATGCTCACCCATTCAGTGACCACTCAACGTTGCATCGGTACTGAAAAATGGGACTTAGGACCATTTTTCATGCTTACAACCTTTCTGGCACACACACACACCCAATGGTCAGGTGTCAAAATTTGGATGCTCAACAACCTGGCCCACGCTTACGACCGTCGCGGTGCAGTCTTTTTATCTAACAATCGTTTTGCCGACTTCTCTTTTGCTCCCAAAGTCCTTCTCACATACTATTTAAAATCCGGCCGTCGATGCAGCCAAGTTGGACACTTACTACAGCGGAACATCCCTTGGCCGCCGGGTTTGTCTTCGGACCACTGGCCTTCGTAGATGGCCCCGTCTTTGTAGTACATCCGCCCCCAGCCGTGTCGCTTCCCCCAGGCCCATTCGCCTTCAAAATACTCTCCCTCAGAGTAGAACTTCACTCCGTAGCCCTGGAAGTGTGAAAGAGTCGGGATGAGAGGAAAGGTCGTGGCTGACTCGGGCGTGAAATGACACGGGAGGGAATCGTGGTAAATCCAATTCAGAAAGGGCCACGCTCTCTACCACTTCCTCAGTTCAAACTCTTAAACGCTACATGCAAAATATTTACCCTGGGGTGTCCAATCTTGGCAATGTTTTAAGACTTGTGGATTTCAAACTCACAGAATTCCCCAGTTAGGCATGGCTAACTGGGGAATTCTGGGAGTTGAAGTCCACAAGTCTTAAAACATTGCCAAGATTGGACACCCTGCGTTAGAGCCAGTCACGCTGTCTAGGGAATTCTGGGAGTTGAAGTCCAGACTTTCTAATAAGTTTGCTTCGCGTGTTATACCATAGTTTATTTAAACCACGATTTGTCAGTCTTGCAAATGAGGAAGCGCATTCCTAGTTTGTCCTGCTTCTCCTGGAGATATTTGGAGCAGCCATCCAAAGAAGGCAGAAAAATCCAAGCTAGAACATCAAACCAACCATCATTCTTTTATGTACACTGAGAGCATTTGCAACAAGACAAATTCCTTGTGTGTCCATTCACACAGCCAATAAAGAATTCTATTCTATTCTATTCTATTCTATTCTATTCTATTCTATTCTATTCTATTCTATTCTATTCTATTCTATTCTATCTATAAAATCCCATTTTATAAATAACAAACCATGGTTTCTTCCACACGGTAAAC